GATGCATCATCTGGTTTAAACAGAATAAGCTGGGAATAAGAACATATATTTTATTACGTTATGAATTTTTCTAGATCTTTCCCAGAAAAAAGTCGTAAAAAGCTGTTACTCACGGCGAAATACAAGTCAAAATACATTGAAAACTGCTGTTATGTTTAGTTGCCGAGTTTGTCGTAAAGGATATAATGTAAAATAACGTTGTCACATCACTTGCAATTAGAATCAGAGAAAATATATGTGGTACATTACATTTTTCTTATTATTTCCTTGAACAACTTATTGATTTATTTTATTATTATTGTATAAGTTGGAGAAAAAAATCTATTTTAATTTAACATCAACAGAAATTATTTTGATCCAGTACTTTTTGAAATATTAACCAATTTATGTTTTTATTTTACCCTGTAAAGTTGTCATTTTTATTTTACCACGTTATTCTGTGGGGGCAGCGATATCATTATCGTTAGTTTTAGTGATATTTATATAAAAAAATATTATATAAAAACTAAAAAAAGAACCGACTTAAACTTAAAAAAGTGATAAATAATATTTATAAGTATGACTTGTCATTTTTATAGTAACTTTTTAGTGATATTGATATTTTTTTTTATATAATAGGTAACACTAAAAAAATAAAAATATATTATAAATAAAAATATTCGACATAGTCAAATCTTAGAAAAGGAGATTTTGTTTATTTGCTCGACATAATTTTGTTCCAATTATACATACTCATATTATAAAGAGGTAAGATTTAATTGCTTGTTTATTTGCATTGAATAAGTTATGAAACTATTGGACTGATTTACAAAAGTTTTTCATTTACGGGAAGCTACATAATCTGCGCGGTGTATGGCCTCAAAAGGAAAGCTTCTAATTTTGGTTTCGGTAAAATTTAAATGCAACCGCCTCGTCCCATCAAGCTGTCGAATAAAAAAAGAATTTTGAGAATCAGTCGACAACTGCCAGAAAAATCGGTGAACATATACATAAAAAACATACATCGCCGTCGAACATATAACCTCCTCCTTTTGGATTTTTGAAAGGTTAAAAAGAATAAAAATGACATTCCACCTTAAAATAGAAGGAAGAAAACTTTGTATTAACTTGAAAAAAAAATGTAGTGGACTTAAAAAAAGGAAAGAAAATATAAAATGTGACAGCCGCTTCCAACTTTTTATGTAATTTGAATTAGTGTTGGTGTTTTTTGCATTGCTCTTTCTTCAGGCGACTGAGTGATCTAATCACTTATCGACAACTGTGTAAAGTTAGTACGAAATATTTAATCATTTAACTCAAAGCTTTGCACGAACAATTTATAATATCTGTATGAATAAACACAGTAAACTTCGATTTCCTTTCCGTTGAATTTGAAAATAACTGTCATTTTTGGGAATCTGATGTGGGGCTGATATATAATGCACCAATTATATTTAAATTGAAATGTTAAGGATTTGAATAATAAAAACACTATTAGAACAGTCAAAGTATGGTATAATGGTAACGTTAAAACGTATATTTTAGCCTATATTACCGAATATTATCACCTATAAGCAAACACATAAAATTAGTGACTTTACCTCTTTATAATATTAATTGGTACAAAGTTATTTTTTGCTTGTAAATCGCTTATACTTTAAATAAAAACTTAAATCAATAAAGTAAGAAAATTAGCGAGAATGTTTTGTTAAACTACTTCAAATCGTTATATATCCTAAACTATTATTTAAAATGAAAAATGATAAAAGCTACCTCAAGATGATTTTAAAATACCTATTCAACGACACACCACTTGACATAGTTCAACGAGTTATTTTTTTTTTCATTTTGACAATATGACGTCTGGTTGTCGCTGTGGTGAATTTTGGTTACTGTCATGTCTTTAGTGACACTCGCAAGGTTCAGACGAATCGATTGACGTAAGAATCATCAAAATCGGCCTACGCATTTGGTCTGTAGAACGCCACATAGAAACAGACATACATACATACATACATAGACTGATAAATACTGTTGTATTCCCATTCTATACTTCTTAGCCAGATAATACCAAACAGTAATAAGTACTCTCTTTTTTCGCTCTACAAAATCGCTACCCCATAACAATTTCGCAGTAGGCACTTTGGTAATAAAATGCTTGGAAGTCGTGATTCGCTCGCTGTAACAATAGATGTACACTGTAATGTTGGCACTGTAATCTCGGCGTCGATCATGTATCAAGTACTTAGCTATCTGATGAAGAGATTGTCCGCCCACTCGATATTCTTGAACTCATATCGATCAGAATAATAACTAGCTTTATTTTAACGATGGACTATCGAGCTATCGATATGACAATCATGTAATTTTTGAACCACAATGATTGCATAGAAGCTTATATAAAAAGGAACGATTAATATTTTTCCTATAATAATTTAAAAAAAAAGATCTCGACAATAATCATACATAGAGAACTGAAATGTGACGTATTGAGACGAACGATTAATGTTAGTAGCTTCATGGCTATAATTATAAAATTGCAATCTAGCAACTGCAACACCCTATGACATGCTATGCAAAACAAATTCACATGCACACACGGTGACAAACATCCACTCTTTACGTGTTTTGCCCCTCCACGGAGCATCCTCACGACTTATTGGACCTTACAGTGCCTACCTAGTGAGGTCTAGTAAGAGAAGATTGGGTAAATCGTAAGTTTTTGTTTGTTAGTTAGGATCTAAATTATTTGAACTTATTAGGCTGCTAATCTTTAAGATTTAAATAGAACCGCACATGCCAATTCTTATACACAAACAAACTTTCTCAACTTGTAAATTTTGAAGGTTAGAATTGTTTGATATTCTTATCTGACATATTACCTTGTTTAAACTTTCACATTCTTACAATTGAATATTAGTGACTTGATGCACATCCAATATATTATCGAGTCTCAATGGACCAGTTTCAAAACAGTGTATTTAGCTGATGGTTCCGTTCTTAGCAGATAACCACCACAGACCCGATTTCGAAATTTACAAAAGCCAACATCGAACCACCACTTTGCCAAATAACACACTTCGCCGAACAAAGATTACGGGTTATACCACCAACAGCATAAACGCATATACTTTTATCAAATATCCACTTTATTACGAAAGGCATAAGAACTTAAACAATGTTGTTGATCGTTACAGCACTAAACGTCATAGTCTACAATATTATACCTTCATTGTAGGACGACACAGGGATTATAGTATTAAGGATTATAGGTATTATCAAAGTTCTTTAAAAATTGAGGGTTCAATATTACTCAGCCACTAATTTGTTGCAAGAATGATTGGTATAGAAAACTCTACCTTGGTTAGAAACTATTACCATGGTATTTATTATTAACAGAATTGTAATCGTACTGTCTAATAATAAAATCTGTTCTGAAGTCAACCAAAGATAACCCCTGGCTTCTACTTGATATTACTAGAATAAGAGCTACTGATTTAATATTCGATAGATAAAATAAAACTCACTAACCGTACAAAGTTTTATATCCTCCACATTATAGCCCACTGACCAAGAAAATAGACATTAACAAAAATTTTAAGAAAGATCCACATTATTTAAAATTTCATATACAGGAAAAGTTTGTAATCCATGCACAAATGTTATTATTGCGAATGTTACCGTAAATCGTCATAGTTACGCTTTTTGTCTCTCCTTTTCATCAGTTAAAGAAGTAGAAGATGTCTATAACTAAAAGATGTTGCTAGAATACCAAAACGATTATTAAATTAGACAGAAACTATTATACTTGTTGATTAAAATACAATGGAAATCATTTAATAATCAGAAATAGCCAAATTAGCCACCGGGCATTCTTATACGGGGTCTATTGGCATTATTCTTCTATCTATCTATGAGCACTTTCCATAATATGACTATTTTAGGCAAGATATTTATTTAATTGTACAAATATTAAATTGTACGCAATGGATGAAAACACAAATCATGCTGATAAAAGTCAATCTTAATCTACAAAGCTAAGGAAGTTACAGTTCATAAAGTTTTTTGCTCCCAATAATGGGCCAAAGTAATTTGAGGCAATTTATTTCAACACTCGTATCAAAAACGCCGCACCACTTACATTCAGACAGTCGGTTACTGGGGACCGAATCAAAAGAGTCGACAAATCATTTACAATTATTGATAGGGACTTCTCAAGCCAAATTTATCCAGTTTACTCTTCAAATGCCAAAATAGGAAATGCATTTTCGATATGAGCCACAACTTAATTTATACGTTGAAGGTAATATTCATAAGTTGCAATTTTGGAACTATGTTTAAGTGTCTTTGGGTCATTAATTGCATCTTATAGGGATACGTTTACTGTTCTGATTCAATTTCTGTAGTTTTTGGTGAATTCATATTCTTTAGATTGAGATTTGTTAGAACAATAATAATCTGATTTATTAGAACACTATAAAATTATCACTAAAATATTAATATAAAAGATGAAGTTATACGTCATAAAATTAGGTTTGGTAATTCTAAACAAGTATATTGTAAAAGTAAGTGGCAAATGAAAAAATACCAGAAAATATTCATTTTAGCTACTTCTATTTATCAATTTATAACATGATCGAGATGTATCAGCATATCTTGACTTAGAGTGATGATAACCCCATCGTAATCTGAAATTGACAGTCATGTGCCTGCGAACACGTCCACACTTCAAAATGTCACCATAAAGATAATGGAGGTCGAACAAAATTAACGATAAACTCTTACTTGACACTAAAAGCAATTAAGATGTAAATGAATATTTCAATCGTGCAATACATAATTATAAATAATCGGAACATCGCTTACTAATAAATCTTGCTAATTATCTATTAAGTAAAGAGTGTTTTAAACTATAAAGAAGATACATTTAATATTTATTAATTAATAAAAAATATCTGTACATAGGAAAAATACATGATAATAACAAATTCATACAATACAAAGCGAAAGAGTTAAGAAATTTATTTAACTATATCTTCCAAATTCTTGCCTTTCGTTTCAGGTAATGGCAAACAAAATATAATAGTAAATATTGGTATTAATGCAAATATTGCAGATGCTAACCAATGAGTTTGCGTATTAGCAATGAAGGGGGCAATCATAGCACCCAATTTTATTCCACTTGAACTCAAGCCAAATCCCATATTTCTTAGTGGTGTTGGATACAACTCATTTATTTGGACGAATATGATGCAAAATATTGTAGTCGCTGCTGTAAATGCTATTGTGACTGCGACGATGCTGGACCAATGATCATCGGGTAAAAAGATCAGCGTCATCATACATATACCGCAGGTGATCAAAGCAGAGATGCTAGCGGTCTTTCGGCGCATTTTTCTATTGATAACTGATGATAAAATGCTGGCAATGAGCTGGAATTATTAATATAACTTAAGAATATATAAGCTCACAGAAAAATAAATCATCATTAGCCCTTTTACATCCCCACTGCAGGGGCTCAAGCTTTCCTTATGGATGATTAAGGAGGATAGACCGTGACCATTCACGCTGATTGGAGGGATTGGAGGGTTTTAACGACTGCAAACGCAGCTGAGACCAACGGCTTAACGTGCCTTCCGAAGCGCGGAATAGCTCGAAATAATATTTTTTTGGTCACCCATCCTGTTACCGAACCTTACGAAAGTTACTTATAACGATCGTGGGCCACGGTATTTAATCACTACGCCACCGAGCTCCTCCTTGAGTAGGTCGGAAAAAAAAAATGAAAATATTTAATTAATTCAATTGGGTAATACAATGATCGATGATTAGCAGTATGATTTCTACGTTACGTTTACATATGATTCGATCAACAAAATTAAATTCCAATTTCTTAAATTCACACATAGAACAACGATATTTAATATAAACGAGTAAATCTGAATAAAAAAATCCGAGTCAATAAATACCTGAAATAAGCCCAATGTAGCAAACACTGCGTACACATGTGATCCGAGTAATGTTGAATATTGATTTATACCATAGTAAGAAATCCCAATAAAAGTCCAAGCAAATACTGAACTAACGGTTATAACTGTAAATTGTTTTGTTCGGAACAAATCGGTGAAATTCATTTGTTTATTTTCCCTCTGTTCACATTTTATTCTTTCCAGAGTTTCGTTTATAGTATCTTTAATATGGGAAACGTCACGGTTGTTTCTAAAAAAATTAAAAATATTTTCAGTGATAATATTTCACCAGAGTAAATAGTTTAGTTTTGTTTTTAACTAGCCAAGATCATGGTTCCTTATGGTTTCTATGTCACATATCGAAAAAAACGACAAAAATATAAAATCATATTTCAACAATTCCACGCGAAGCATTCGACGGAAAATCCGTCGCATACTAATTGGGAAGTACCGTAAGATATTTGAAAGATCTTCAAAACAACAAAATTGGATTGAAATTAATTATTATCGTAAAGAAACAAATAATTATTTTGAAGCGAACCAATATATACTCACGTTTTAGCAATTTTTGTCATTAACTCTAAAGCTTCATCACCTTTTTGATTTGCAATCAACCATCTAGGTGTTTCTGGTATTACAAACATAGTAGTCAAAATGATAATTGACAAAAAACCACATGTCAATGTGAAAAGATAACAACTAGGTGAATAATACGCAATTACAGTCAATAGTATTTGTGCGACACCATCTGAAAAACATAATCATTAGGAATTTAAAGAAGAAAAATACACATTTTGTACTTATCACAATGCTGTATAAATGAGTTTGTGCGCGATACTCATATATGAGAAAAAAGAATTTGCGTTATAAAAACATTACGTTTGATAGAATGCGCTATTTGTGTTGCTAACTAAATTAAGTGGGAACATATAAAAGTTTTTACGAAAATTATAATAAAAAATAACTGAACCTGCAGACATAGTTGCTACTCCAACCAAATCTTTATACTGCATTCCAACAGATTCCACGCAAATTACCACATTGAGAGTCACAATACCGCCTGTCCCAAACCCGATGAAAAATCTTATAATCGCCAACAACCAATATGTAGGAGCAAATGTGGAGGCTATCATAAAAGCTACAGCAATGAGAGTGGACAGGCGAAAGGCAGGGGCACGCCCAAATCTGAAACAGAAAGTAATTTAAATTATACAATATGTCAGATAAGAACTGTAAAATTAAAAATAGCAAACAAGACTTATCACATAACTCAAAACTTACTTTCACGTTTAGGAAGACATTATAGGGTTAGTAATGACAATGATATTGTTTCATATGAAAGTAGAAAGTAAAGAATGCAATTTCCTTGTAATCAAGAATCTTTCTTATTTTCATATAACTCAAACTGATACGTAAACAGCGTCACCGAAAATTAAATTTAATGCGAAAATAATACCAATACGGTATATAACATAATAAGATAATATAACTCGAAGAATATAGAATTTCAATAAAAGTATAAATTGAATATGATTTTTGTACACTTGAACTACGACAGAACAATAATGTTGCTGACATTGCTGTTACCCCAATTAGTTCTGAAAATATATGATGTAGAGATGTTTAAAAAATATCACATACCTGTCTGAAATCCATCCAATTACTGGTACACCCACAAGCAGCCCAAGCATGAGAACTGACTGCGCAAAACTTGCAAGCCAAGCGTCCCCGCAAACCAAATCGAATCTCGTTATATATGTGTCTTTAAATAACGAATTAAAGTACTCATATTTGATACAATCATCATAACACGTGTCATTCTTCACTTCTTCAGTAAAGTTACTTTCGAATTTCACACACCTAAACTCCGTTTTAGGTGTTAAGAAAACTATAGATATAGCATTTGCAATCACTATGAATTTGGAAGAAATAGATATCAACCAAACTATGGCTTGCCAAGTACCGAATGAGCCTATACATTTGGCAATGTAATCATCGTCTTCCGGTTTTGCCAGATGATGGTCAGTATTTACAACATATTTATTTATAGACTTCAACTTCATTTCTGCTTTTTTCTATTGCTAGATCTGAAACAAAAATAAATTTTAGATCAGTGTTTCAAATTTCCTTTTCTTTAAGACTAAAAGAACAAGGAACGGAAATACTAAAGCTAGGGAATTTGATCAACCACCAATTCGTGGTTCTAACTTACTTAGTCATATAAAAATTTATACTAATCCCAGTAACATTGAGCAATAGATGTATAAATGAATTAAGGACGTTGAAGCGGTGGATGGTTTCCAAAATTATAGCTACTTCATTCAAATTAGTTTTTTAGATAAATTATTGAATTTTTCATTATTTAAAGTGAACATACAATTTTTTTTAAAGAATATGTAAGTAAGTTTAAGTTTCTCCGAGTATTAAATACTAATATTAAATTTTATTTTTTTTATGAAGATAAATTAAAAATTAGAAATCTAACTAGATTATGGCAGTCATGGTCAATGCTGACGATTTTTTTTTTGACAATGCTAATTTTTGATATTATTTTTATATTTATACAGCGATTTTGTGTTTGTTGTTTCTTTACTATATTCATTCAAACTTATATTCAAAACGTTGAAATTTCTATTGAAACCGTCATTACAGACATTCATCGTGAATCAGTGATGAAGCTAATCTCGATGCCTGTTCAGATTTATTGTTGCCTCGAGCTACAGGACCATTACTGATCCATTCTGAATCGAAGGTGCTCATCACTCTCAACAAAATTATGGGGCTATATAGGTTTAACGTTTAACACAATTTTATGCTCCTACCTGCCAATATCATGTCTTGGAAACAGCATGTTAACAAATGCAAAAAGTTTGATATCGTAAATTGACGATAATATGCATTATATATTGGTAAACGCAGTTCGGCAATAGATAGACAACATTTTGTAACTAAAATATAATAAAAACATATAAACTTGAGTGTGTTGTAATCTTAATAATAGACACTTATAGTATGTCAATATAATTTCTTATAAAAGAAATTTACGAGAAAAAATCAAAGTTGCTTTGAACAATACGTTCCTCTTTTTTATTTTTAAAGTGAGGCTTCAGAGCATTTACCTTACCAACTAAGTGATTTTTCCCGTTATTTATAATCCATAAAAGATTGAAGGAAACAAGATATTTTCGAGTACCCATTATCCGTCATTATGTAGTGCCAACTATGTATTAAGTCTGCTAATAATATTTAATGCTGCTGCAATATTGAAAATAAAAAAATTAAAAACCAACAAAAAAGGTCATACGAGTGAATCACAAAGTAATCATCAGAAATACACAAAGTGTCAGTTTCCATAACCCGCCGACACGTCACGTCCGTATCGCTAATCCCTTTATAATAGGGCTGACACTAACCAAAATAATTGCTTAAAATAAAAATCTAATCTAATTCAAATTAGATTTTATGATATGTTTATTTACAAACAAAATAAAAACATTATAGTTAAATAATAGTAAAGATTAGAACAGAAAAATAAGACCATTGTAAAATTGCATCTTTATTTAACTTGTAAAAAATATAGAATATTTAAATCACTGATATATCTTACTGCCAATGATGAAACACCGTATTTGAAAAAAATATTATCTGAGACAATAACAAATATAGTTTGATATTAGATCTGAAATTTAAAATAGCTGGCTAAGCAGCATACCCACTATCTATTTCAAAAATATCAGAAACTAATTACATTTGTATAGTTTCTATTTGTTAATCTCTAAACGTATAAAATTCTGATTAATCAAATTATTACAGATCATTCTTAACTTGAAGCTAAAATAGCATTTGAATGGAATATTTCGAACAATTGACAACCCTAATGTTGAAGGCTGCGCGTTCTTATGACAGGCGCGTCGAGCCGCCATTTATAAAACTCAATTACGCGCCTCCGCTCCTAATAATGATAATTGATGACGAAATTTGCGAGCTTTTTGCGGAGAGATCCTTGCCAGCCATAATTCTTGTTTAACGCGTTTCCGTTGTTCTTTACGGCACGATTAATAATCCAAATACGAGTCGTGGATTATTATCATAACTAACACAATAAAAATATTTTGTTGGGTTAAGATTTTAACTAAGTTCCTAAACCGCATGCGTTTAATTAAACGTAGTTCAGTTACATCCTAGTGTATTCTTTAGAAAATAATACATGGGCATATTAAATTATTCAATAAACAAATTTTAAATAACCAAGTTATTGAAAGAAGAATTTCATTATAGCTATTTTTATTATAGATAATAATAAACAATTTCTTATCCTACTGCCACAATAAAACATTCGCATTTAGCATTTAAAATTAAATCATTTCACTGTTTCATTAGTTCTAATACGAGGGTCAAACTGAAAGTTCTTAGAAAATCAAAAACTGATTACATTAGCCAGTTATTAGTTTTATTATATCTTTTCAAAATATTGTCCATTCACGTCAATACACCGCTGCATGCGATGGAACCACTGGGAAAAGTACTTTGCCCACTCGTCCTTAGGGGTCTCTTCAATGGCATCGCGATACGCAGCCACCGCTTCTTCAGCATTCAAAAACCGCTTTCCTTTAAGTTTTTCTTTAATTTTTGGAAATAAATAAAAATCACAAGGCGCGAGGTCGGGGCTATACGGCGGGTGACCCAGTTATTCAACGTTTGATGTCGCCAAATAGTCGATCGTTCGCTTGGCGGTGTGCGACGAGGCGTTGTCGTGGTGAAGGAGGATCCTACTGCGAGGTCGTTTCTCTCGAACTTTTTCCAAGACAAGTGGCAAACAATTGGTAGTGTACCATTCTGCAGAAACTGTTTTTTGATCCTCTAACACAATTGTTGCAAAATGACCTATCCTTCCAAAGAACGAGGCCACCATTTTTTTTCCCGCACTTCGATCTCTCTTCACTTTAGTTGGCAACTCCTCGAAAGGAAACACCCACTGAGCAGATTGTCTTTTGGTTTTAGGATCATAACAGTAAATCCAGCTTTCGTCACCTGTTAGTATGTCGAACACAGCATTTGAGTCACCTCCGTTAAATCTTTCAATCATTTTACGACACCAATCCACACGATGGAGTTTTTGAGCCTCAGTCAAATTATGAGGTATCCACCGGGCGCAAAGCTTCCTGACCGCTAAATGTTCGTGGAGGATTTTGTGCACTTGACTCATACCGATGCCTAAGCTTGTCCGAATCTGTTGATAGGTCACTCTTTTGTCAGTCTCTATCATACGCCGCACAACACAGATGTTATCTTCAGTCGTCGCCGTAGAAGGCCGTCCCTCACGAAAATCATCAGTGAGATTAGTGCGACCACGTTTAAACTCATTAAACCAGTTGTAAACAGTCGCACGAGATGGGGCTTCATCGTGAAAGGCCAATCGTAGTCTATCATAACTTTCTTGTTGACTTAAATGACATCGAAAGTCATAAAAAATCATTGCACGAAAATTTTCTCGTGTTAAATTCATGATGACGTGACACAGACAATTTTCAATTTGCCGCCAAATCGTAAAACAAATGACAAATGAATGAAATATATACTCAGTAATATTGGCAAAGAGTTATATTTTCAATTTTAGAATTATTTTTTTATTATATTGTTTATAAGTGGCCAGTTCTAAGAACTTTCAGTTTGACCCTCGTATGATAAAGTAGAAAAATTAAATTATGTGAGGCTTTGTTTGTTTGCATCAAATAGGCTCTAAAACTACTGCACCGATTAAAAAAATTTTTCACTTACGGAAAACTACATCGTACACGGATGACATGGGCTATAATTAACGTGGGCGAAATCGCGGAAAAACAGCTACTTATTTATATAGATGATATTTATGAAATATTAAAATCCGTCAACCCAGTTGTAAACTTTCACCCTCTAAACGTCAAAGATGCAAATACTCGTGGAGGCTTAGTTTTGTCAAATCTACACTCAGTGGTTCAATTGTAAATTCACCAAGCGTTGACAATGGAAACAGATGTTGTGTCGCGATATTTCTTCATAACGCGGGCCCCTGTTTAATTTGTAAATCGCTTGACGACTGATTAAAAACTCTTTTGAAAAATTTACGAGGGCGAGACGAGTAAAGGGAACGTCTCGTGCACTCGCTTTTTTAAGCAAATCTAATTTAAAAAAATATCATGAAATAAGTTGATTGAAAAAAAAACACTTTATTGGCAATAATTGTTTAGATACTAATTGGATTAAGTTATAGCTTATCACTTACTATTAATGAATCAATAATAGGTATAAGCAGCATTTTAAGATTCGTCAAGCGTCTCACGGAAGCGTCTCAATCTTCCATCGAGTGTGCAAAGGTGAATGGCAAAACTTCTATTTGTTAGATCTGACGTTCCGCGACAAGCTAATTTTTCCAGACATGATCAGTACATATGCAAATAAAAAGAATGCTGTCTGGAAACGTAAGTTGTTACATACCAACATATAACATTTTTAACAACGAAACTAACATTTACAAAATAATCATTTCTTTAGCTTTGCTATCGTCATCAGCTTATTAAAGTCCCCACCGCTGAGGCACAGGCACTCAGGTGATTCCTATTATATAAGTACGTATGGTGATGGGTTGTAAGTACCGCAAAGGCCTCGTTCGATCACCCATTCTATTACAGGCCCTTGGGAAAGTCGCTTTGCCTTTTAATTGACATCGATCATTATGCCATCGTATTTCTCATCCGCTTTGCTATGCCACTTGTATTGAATTATAAAACTGACATAAGTAACGTATGGTTTATGTTTGCAATCATAACTATAATCATAAAGCCACATAAACATAGACGATAGACAGGAGTCACTGTTCATATGTCATTTCATTCAAGAGGTAAACAAAACGATTCGTTCTGCTGTAGTTATTAACGTAATAAGTCTGTACTATCGGCGTTCTCTTTGAAACCTTCCTACAATAACACGAATAAATCTTTGCGACCAGGATTAAATGTATATTGGATGTGGCAGTTCGACGAATAATATTATTTTGTACGGGTAATGTTCGGAGAATTTCTTAAAT